TGGGAAGCGGTCTCACAAACTTTCTGCTAGAAGGCAACAACAACTGCACTGCTGTGCTGCAATGTATAGTATAATTAAAAATTTCACTGTAAATATTTGGGTTAATAACACATAAAATTCTATGTGAAGATTTAAGAAAGCTATCAGTTTTAGTTTTAGATAGTTTAAATAATAATTGGTTCGCTGTATTTTTCTGCAGCCCCACTGCCAACACCACTTACTGGACTGAAGACCAGAATGAAACAAACAACAGCTGCTTAATTCATGACGACGACTGGACCTTCACTTTCATTCCAGTGTACATCTGCTAATCTCTGTGCTGGGGATTGTCCTGAATGTCTTTGTCCTGATGGTTTTCTGCCTCCACAAGAAAGCCTGCACCACACCTGAGATCTACCTGAGCAACATGGCTGCTGCTGACCTGGTTCTGGTTTCCTTTTTGCCCTTTTGGGCTAATTATATTTCCAACTATTATAACTGGATTTTTGGTGAAGTCATGTGCAAAATTGCCAAGATGATTATTATAATGAATTCATTTTGCAGCATCTACTTCCTGGTTTTGGTCAGCATTGATCGTTATTTGGCTCTGGTGCACCCTCTGTCCTTTAAAAGAATACGTACACCATTTTTTGCTAAACTGGGTTGTTTGCTGGTGTGGATTCTGGGCTTCAGCTTTGGTGTTCCAACATTTATTTTCAGAAAAGTAGTAAAAAATTATGATAAAAACATTTGTACGACTGTCAATTTAAGCTATACTACTGTCTTTACAAGTCAGTCTCTAAACTTAGCATTTGGGTTCATTGTTCCTGTTTCCATCATTGTCTTCTGCACTGTAAAAATTATTAAAATTTTGAGAAGCAGGCCAATGGAAGGAGTAAATGCAAAGAAAACAGAACAAAAGGCAACAACTTTGGTTTTGGCAGTGCTGCTGGCATTTCTTATCTGTTGGGTTCCATACCACCTGCTTGGGATAAGTGTGCTCCTTCCAATCACTGAGTGCAGCACACGCAAAGTTTTCTACATTTGTGGGCAGATCTTCAGCTACTTAGCCTACTTCAACAGTGTTCTCAACCCCATTCTCTACATCATTGTAGGAAAAAACTTTAGAAAGAAAGTTCAAGAACTTTTCAGGCAGTGGAAGAACAAAAGATTCCTGATTGTCAGCAAAACATCCACGAGCAAAACTTTATCTGGAAATAGGAACTCTGCAGATTCCACCAACAGAACAGAAAATGTGTCATCCATTGAGTTGTAAATTTTCTAGCTTAATGTTTTTCATCAAACATGAAACACGATGGTACTTAAAGACATTTGACATGTTGGAAGGTTTGTGTTAAGCAAAAGTTAAAATCAGACCATCTAAAATACATTTTTATTCAACAGTTTGTTATGTTTTAAATGAGTTGTAATTACAGGTGTGGTGAGTTTTGATCAAATGTGGCTCTTGTTCAGATTAGATAAAACTTTRTTGTCCTAAAGGAAATTTGTCTTGGATACAGACTCTAACTGCTACAAAATCTAAAACCATGACCATCACATTACATGCACACCTAAAACCATTCTATAATAAATATATTTTAAGAGAAATAAAAGAGAAACCATGTCAGTACAATTTAAAATTTTAGACACCCTCGCCTACAATCGCAATTTATTGGTTGTTACTGCTGATGGCTTGGATAGAAAGTGGAACAAATGAATTCTTATAGCAGTTCAGTCAATGCAGGAACTCTGAGACTCTGAGTTGTTCTGAACCTTTCATACCAAAACAGTTTAGAAATGTTTTCAGGATAACACAGTAATAATGCTGCTACATAATTATACAGTACTGCCAAATGTGTTTTATGTCATCATAATAATAGACTCAAACTGAGGTGATGGAAGAAATTAAAAGATAGGGAAAAAGCTGAAGTTGTGCCTCTGTGATAGTGTAGAGTCCAATAGASAAGTGTAATTGCATTTGTTACAACTGAATGTACTGCATGTCTGTGTATTTTAGCTCTTTTCACTGTGAAATGTTTGTTTAACATTTTGTAACCCAAAACCCGTCATAACTACTGCATATCCATGCTTCATTTCTCTGTTATCTGTGTGTTTTTAACTTTAAAAGTCATTAGTAGCTGGCAAAAAGAAGTATTGCTAATTCTGACACTTCTGCAGAACAACCCAGCACATTGTTTGACATAAGTATAAGGTCAATTTGTGTGTGTGTAGTTACAAAAAAATTAACATTAATGTGGMTTTTTTTAACTTTTGTTTGTCACAGTAACTGTAGTTGTGCTTGTGTTTGAGAGCTGCATGTCCTTGACAGATCAAATAAATCTGTTTATTATGCGAGTGCTTCTCTTTTTTCATATTTGAATTTTACCACGTGCTGTCTTAAAAAAATTACATTCAGCGGCCTGACTGCAACAGATGCCTAATGTTGTGGGAATGGAGAGTCTGTTCACGTTGAGGGTAAAATTATGAATACCTCATGTACCTTCTTTAGTTTTATTGCACTAACCACCAGGGAATTGGCACAAGTTGGTAATGATAATAAATGTGTTRTAAAAAATGTATGCATTAATATCAAACTCATAATTCGGTCTCTGAATTTTGTCTTTGAGTTCATCATTTCTCTCCATTATTTTCTCCTGCACTCTAAAAATGATTAAAGTTCTGAGAAGCAGGCCAATGTGAGGAGTAAAATGCAAAAAATAAATAAATGAACTAAAAAAGGCAACTACTTTGGTTTTGACAGTCCTGGTGGTGCTTTTGATTGTTGGGTTCTATACAACTTATTTGGGAAATTTAGAATGCTCCCCTTGAACTTGAAATTATGACTGGGTGTAAAGAACTAATTGTCTATAACCTTTGTGAGGATATTCCACTACTTTGCCTACTTAAAGTTTTTATCCCATTCTCAAGGGGTTAAAATTGCCACTGTTTGTTGGAATGGGTTTTTTTTATAGCAAAAGTTTATTTAAATTGTGCAAATGTTTTTTTAAGTATTGATCAAATGTAGTTCTTTGTCCTGACATCTTGTTTTATCTTTTCAGAACAATTCTACCAAAACTAAGACTCTACAAAATGTTTCATCCTACCACTCACGACCCAAAGTTGTTGGTTTAGAAATGCTTTCAGAATAACGCAATTCTAATACTGCTACATCATTAAACAGCCTTACCAAATGTGTTTTATGTCATTAAAGACTCAAATTGAGGTGATGAAAAAAAAAAACAGAAAATAGAAAAGCAGAAATTCTGCCTCTGTGACAGTGTAAGAGTCCAAAAGAGAATCGTAATTACATTTATCACATCTGTTCATACAGTATATTATCGGGGGGGAAAAAAACTTTCATAGAAAAGTTAACTAACTCCGAATAAAACCTCCAGAAGGACAAATCTATCAAGAAGTAAAACTTCAGATGCCATCACCAGAACTACAGGCACATCAATAACTAAGTTGTGAAGTTTTTTTTTTAATTAATTCAATCATGGGTGCATGTGAAGAGATGGAGTTTGGAAAGATTTTTAAAGCAAAAMCAACAAAATTAATTATGTGCAAAATTATGTGTTATTGATAAATGAAATGGGATCAAATGGTGTGGTGAGTTTTGATCTAATAAGGGTTTTGTTCTGACATCCTGTTTGATCTTTTATGAACAATTATACTGGAAATGAGACTCAAATTACAAAAATATTCCGTTTTACCACTTACAACCCTAATGCCTTGGAAATGCTTTCAGAATAACTCGATAATCATACTGCTACATAATTAAATAGCCTTACCAAATGTGTTTTATGTCATGATAATAATGGACCCAAACTGAGCTAATGGGAGAAATGAACAAAAATAAAATGCAGAAGTTGTACCTTTGTGATAGTGTAAGAGTTCAATAGAGAACTGTAATTACATTTGTCATGCTTGTACTTATTGTTTGTCTCTGTATCTTTTTTTCACTGTGATTTGTTTGTTTTGAAAAGCAATGGGATCCAAGAAATGTTCCTGTCATAAATGTATTCATTTCTCACTTCCCTGTAACCTGTGTTTTTTTCATTGAACAACGTAAATGTTTGTCATTAGTAACCGGCACAATTAAATACCTGTAAGTTAATGTACAAGAGATTTGTTGTTGCTTTCTGCACTTTTATGTTCACTGTCACCTAATCAACATTAACTCCAACTCCTGGCATTATCTGGTAACACTTGTGAGTTTCCCTACTTTTGTACATCACAGTAATTGTAGTTTGGTTGTGTTTGGGGGCTACGTGTCAAGTTTGTACCGAACACTGAGGAGCCCAAATAATAAAAAAAATTAAGCAAAACACGTTTTTTTAATTTGCAACATATGCATGGCTAATTGTTCTTGTGTAACTTTAAGTCCTTTCAAAATCCTCAATTATGGGATCCTGTCAGGGTCTGTATTTATTTTATTTTATTTATTTTCTTTGGTAAGTTTGTGTAGTCTCAGTTCTCTTGTTAAGTTTTTTTGTTGCACTTTCTTTCTGTACTTTAAAAGCATTCAGTTGCTTCCCTTTACAATCAGTTCATTCATTGAGTACTTTCACACAATCTTTTACTGCTCCTGCCCCACCTGTGAGGTGTGTCTGCAGAATGACCCAGGGTGCAGGCAAAATCCAAAAATATAAAATAAAGTTTATTTTAAACCAAAATAAGGAGCTGTCAAGGCAGCAGRACTCACAGAGGCACAATGAACACAAAGGACACCACACTAGCTGGAAACAGAACAATTGATCAGACACAGACTGAGGACAAGACACCAAATATAAAGGCAAACTAATGAGGACAAATTAGAAACACCTGGAAGAGACAAGAGGGAGCAGGTGAGCTTGGATGGGGCTGGAGGAATGAGAGAAACACAGGGAAAACACTAAAACACTAGAAAACTAAAGCAGAAAAGACAGACCGTGACACCACCCACTTCAAACTGCTCCGAGTTTTCATTTTGTCGAAATTACTCCACTCTGTTCATCATCATCTGTCTCTGTAGTCATTCTGATTTCCCTCCACCTTCCATCTGGGACTGTAGCCTATATGTTTCATATCAAGTCTAGTTCTCCTCGGTGTCTCCTTCATTTTTTTATTTTTCTTGCTGATGCAACTTCAGGTTTTTGTTAATGTATTTTAGGTTTTTACTCAAGCTTCTCATTTAAGCCCGTACTTGTGGGTCCAATGTCTATAATGGTGACAAATTCAGTAAAGTGCATGACTGAACTGTTACTTTGATGGTTGTCTTTATCATGAGAAATTACATTGGGGTAGTGTGGGGAGGGGTGGGGGTTAGCAGCTCAGTGCTGCTGCAGGATGCAGATCCCAGCCCAGGTGCATCAGGAAGGCCACATGGCATAAAACAATCACCAAATGTTTCATGCAGTTTTGCTCTCTGTGGAGACCCCTGCAGAACAGAGCTGCCAAAATTAAGTAAGGCATAATTAAGTTCTGTAATGTAACTGATAATACCTTGTATAAAAGTTATGAATTTTCTGTGTCAAAATGTTTGAAAAAGAGAAAGGAAGGGTTGTTTTGAGGTCCTAAGAACCATTTTATTGTTTGTAAAGTGAACATGATTACATTAAAAGAAGCTCATTGGTTTAAAAAAACACAGTTTGTGTTCAACAACTTCTCCTATTGTTTATTAAAAAACGTGAATTTTATTTTTGTTTTAGTTGACAAATTGTTTCTGTATCATGAGTGATGATTAAATGCCATGAGGGCTTTTTTTTAGCATATATGTGAAAATATTCACGCTTTCAGTCCTTGTATTGCTACCCGACTGCACACAGATGACAAATGTGGTGGGAAAAGAGTGTGTTGAGGGGAAATACATGAATACGTCAAGTGCTGGTATCAGCATTTTTTGTAACATTGTGTAATGAATTCATGAATTCAAACACTTTTTATTAAATAAAGCAAAAAAAAGATAAAAAGTAGGAAGGGAATGACAAAGGGGGTGTGTATGGATGGAGTCATATGATATGTGAAATCATTTCACAGTCTAATTTCTTCGATAGAAAGATCTTCAGTCAGACAGACTGAAGCAGCTGGCACTAGAAGATTTTTGATTTTCTCTGTTATAATCAGAAGAAATGGATCTATCAACCTCAAGGTAAACAGAAGCTTTAATGGTTATTATGATGTTCTATGTTCATAATTCACGAGGACTAAATTAGGATTTCTTTCTTAACAGTGTTTAACATTTTGCAAATTGATTGTAGAAATTGTGCTGAAAATTATCTGTGCAAGTGCAAAACCATAATAATTTGAACTGCATCAAAAAAATAAAATAAAAAGCTTCAAAGCAAAGACATTAGGAGGGAACTTAAAGATTTATTTTATTTTATTTTTTTGATGCAGTTCAAATTATTATGGTTTTGCAC